CAATTAAAATAAATTACTCATTTGCTACATTCTCTTTACTTTTCAAAACTGGTAATGCCTTTATTTATTTTAACATATTATGATTTTCATTGTATTTCAATAGGTAAATTTTTTTTATCTCATTTGTCATTTTATTTCCTGTAAGGCTTAGTATGGTGCTCTTTATATTTTAGTTTAACAAATACTGTCATTATCACTCTTGAATTAGAATCTAACTCTTATTCCCTTATGATACAGAGTATAGAAAATGTAGTTGTATATTCTCTTAGCTCCTTCAAAATAGACAACAAGATTGACTATCTCCAGGACTTAAATATAGTTTAAAGGTGACACAAATAATAAGAATAATTTGAGACCACAAATCACACTTGTTGACTTCAAAAAATATTTTTGAACCCATATTAAGAACCACCATCAAGGAACAAAAGGGTAAATGAACTAAAATTAATTCCCAGAGCACTCCCATCTTCTGTTTCTGAAACTTTCTCCTGAGCCGCACAACACACACACACACACACATACACACACATACACACACACACACAATTTTGGCTCAGTGCTCTTACACTCGCTACCTTCAGAGGATTCAGTTCCCAAAGTTGGTTATGTTCAATTTGTTCTGAAATAGAATTGAGATCATTCACTGGCTTTCATCCAGGAAACTTTCTAGAATAAGTTACAATCGTTAAAAAAGAAATCCAACCCAACTACTTATGAAACAATTATTTAAAGGTTTTACTCTATAAACTATTTCAATTAAGGACCAAGCATTCTTCAGAAAATAAAATGCAGTGCGGTTTGAAAGACAATATATTTTCAGTAGTGACCCAACTATGGCAGAATGCTACTTATTTGACATTTAATGGGTCAGCCATATTGCTCTTGTTTTCAATTCTGTCTTCAGAAATGGTCTTATCAAAATAATCCTCCTGCATCAGCTTAGCTGATACTTGACAGCAGATAAAATGTGGAGGTAACTGAAGCTGGGGGGAAATCAATGTTGTATTTCTGCTCTATTTTTAGTTTTGAAAGGTGATGGATTGACTGTGGGAGTGAATTAAGAAGAAATGAAAGACTGTCACTTAAAAAGTTTTACAATTACAGAAAAAAAATTGATATAAATTCACATCTTAAGCCAAAATATAAGCAACCATTCTGGAGGCCTTTTTTAGCATCAATATGAAGTATCAGCAAAAACATCCACTCTGACTACAGAGAGAACCGGTAGTCCATCAGAATGAGATTGGAGTGAGTGTTTTTTCATACATAAAAATTGGCACCTGGTTCAAATCCAATTCATAAGTGCTACAAATACAGTAGGAAAAAATTCGATATAGTCAACAATAATAACCAGATTTAATGGACATCAGATTTCACAATTAGTTCAGACAGACATGTCTTTGAGTTTTTTTTTTTTTATTTTATATTTGCTTGAAGAACTTTTCACTAGTGTCCTAATATGTTAACACAAATGAATGAACTTTCTGGCAAAAAAATACATCTTCTTTTGTAAATATGCTCATATCCTAAAATTATTGAATTGAAGAACTAGAATCTTACAAAATCTTAATAGTTAATTAGTACATAAAATATTTTCACTCATTTTTTCAAATCACTGTTGTTCAATTAATTTAAGTTGCTAACATATTGATTACTTATTTGGTCTGAGTTGTTTCCTCTTCTGTCGACCTTCAGTAATTCCTGGTGAGAGAAGCAGCTTAAAAAATGTGTTTCAGGTAGTACCACTTGTATGTAAATTTCATGACTGCATCTTTTCTAACAGTTACATAGTACTCCATTGTGTAGATGTACCAAAGTTTCTTTAACCAATCATCTGTTATTGGGAAAAGGCAGCTCAGATAGAGAAGGGAGCACCAAATAAAGGGTGTTGGGAGGATCCTCCCAGGATGGGAGATGCGTGCTGAAAGTAGACTATACACCGAACATGACTGCCACTCAATGCTTTATTTGCAAAACACAGCACCCAAAAAGAGAGAGAGAACAAAAGGGAATGCCACAGAGGCAGCCTGGGGATGGGGGGGATGGGTACTTGATCATTGTGTAACTGAAACCCAACACAAAAATTTGTAAGTCTACAACTGTACCTCATGGTGTTTCACTAATAAAATTTTTTAAAAAATTTTAAAATAAAAAAATTAAAAATTAATAAAAATTTAAAAATATATTTCAGGTCCTAGGATGCAGTTCAGCGGTAGAATACCTTCCTGGGAGACATGAAGTCATAAATTTGCTACTCAGCACTATTCCATATGGCAAGTTCAATCCCATCACATTACTGTTGAGATCCTGAACACCACAGTGAGCAATCTTTAGCATCACAAACTCGTGACTCCACAACCAAAATGTGCGTTCCCCAACAATTCCCACAATCAGGCATGCAATCCTTGGATCCAGCAACAACTGCTGTGAAGGGAAAGGAGAGAAGAGAAAAAGAGGGAGAAAAAAGGGGTAAAGTCACACAGTAACATCCTGGTCCTTTAGATCATTAGTTAGTTATCATACTAAGTGCTAGACTTCTCAGCAAATAGTTGCTATTGTCACTTTCATCTTGAAAAAGTCATTCTCATATACATATATGGGACTCCGTGCCAGGCTGTTTTCACTGGGGGCACTTGAAGGGGGGCGGGTGAGTGTCCTCCCCACCCCCAAGGGACCCAGCCCTGGCAGTTGACCCCCACTACCCAATTGCCACCATGCTCCAGGCTGCTTTCCAGACCGCGTGGTCACGAAAGACAAATTATAAGATACTCCCTAGCCATTTTCCATAATTACCACACCATATTTGATGGGAGTCAGACACTAGGCAACAAGTCATAGAGAGAAATATATAAATATATGCCTCTTGGAGAGCCTGGCAATCTACCTACAGTATACTGCCTGCACAGGAGGAGCCTAGCAAGCTCTCTGTGGAGTATTTGATATGCCAAAAACAGTAACGACAAGAGATCTCATTCCCCTGACTCTGAAAGAGCCTCCAATTATTGGGAAAAGATGAATAAGATGAGGCTGCTAAAAATCTCAGGGCTGGGAGGGATAGAGACATTACTGGGGCCCACTCGAGTAAATTAACGAATAATGGGGAGGACACATTACACTGATCACATTTGGGACTTGTAGAATATACAGGCCCTAATTATCCCTTAACCGACACTTATGACAATAAAAGTTATTATACCTTATAATGATAAATGGTTTGGATTTTAATAAGCTTTTCTAAAATATCAAAAAAATATTCTTAACAGAAGATTCTCTAACAATTTTTTGATTTCCAGATAAAAGTAACACAACAACTAATTTTCACATTTTCTAAGATATATATACAATACCAGGCAGATCCAGAACATGGCCAGCAAATGTTGGGCAAGTTTGCCCACTATATGCCCACTATATGCCTGTCTTTACATTTTATACATTATTAAAAAAAATAAAAAGTCTGTTCATGTTCAATAAATGGAGATTATATGAAATTTAAATTCTATTGCCCACAAATAAAGTTTTATAGAAACACAGCCATTCTCCTTTATTTAAATACCACCTATCACTGACTACTTTTTCTCTAAAACTGCAAATGTTGAATATTTGTGATAGTGTCTGGATTTGGATATCTTTAAATGAGAGGGAGGTTTTTAGGCCACTCAAGCAGTGCTCAGGGCTTTCTCCTAACTCAGTGCTCAGGAATCACTCCTGGTCAGGTTGGGGGACCGTATGTGCTGTTGGTGATCAAACCCAGTTGACCTTGAGCAAGGCAGGTACTATACCTGCTTACTATATCCCCAGCCCCAGTATGCTTCTTAAGAGAAAAAATATACCAGCTATTTCTGTAGAGTTGACGATTTTATTTTCAAATTCCTATAATGTTTTTATCCCATAGCATTGCATGAGAACCTATAAATAAATACATTCAGTTAACTTTTCCTACTTCTCTCTGACAGTCCCAACAACTGTTTGTTGTTCGAACGTGGAGAGGCATAAAGATGTTTTAAATCCTAAATTTGGAAAAGGATAAGTGGAAGAGAAAGAGATGATAATGAGCAGTATATCATAGCTTTAAAAGGTGATAATAGAAAAAGTGAAAATAACAATGCTATGTTTATGCAACTCTCTTGGTACCTTTGCTAAAGAACTCTCTTTCTTAGAGACCATAATTGTTTTCTAGTAGCTGGACTAGCAAGAGAATGTGAGTATTAGACTTAAATTAACTTTCTAACTTTTCTAATGACTTCTATACTCAGCAATGGAAAGTTCCCTTAAATGATCTTATTGTCACTGTGTCACTGGCTGTAGGAAAAGAGCTGCATAAGTGAAGAGACTAAATATAGTTTTCCTTATCTGCCTGATCTTCTCAGACTTCCAAGCATCTATCTTTAGGCTTTACCCCCTTTCCACCTTTACTCAGAAAGGATGTGCTTAAAGCACCCTGTTCTTTCTTTGAAAATCATATTCATAATCTATTACCATGTACTGCTCCTACAATAACTGAGAGATGAAGGGATATTTATAATATTTTGTTGTATATGGGACCCACACCCAGAAGCACTCAGGGTATATTCCCAGGAGAGTGCTCAGTGTCACTCCTAGAGATGCTTAAAGGACCATGTGATGCGAGAGATCAAAGCCCTTCTGCAGGAAAAATCATGTACATAACCCCTTTGAGCCATTTCCCCAGGTTTGATGGAATATAACCTTAGAATTCCAAATTGAAAGAGACATTTGATTTGTGGAACTGCTAACTGTTAAATCCAAAATTATTTCAAAATTTGGGGAAAAAACACACCAGTAATTGTGAGGGGATGAAGAAAAAATCCTCTTTCTCTTTAACAATTCAATTTCAAGTAAAATTACTTGTTTGTTAAGAATTTTTCCAAGGGAGATACAAAAACCTTGTCTCTATTAGCCTGCATGCCTCTTTTCCTAGGTATTTTTTTATTAGACCATATGCTAATATTTACTAATGTATTTTACCTTAGTGAACATATGTATTTTGTTTAGATTATTTTTAAAAATTTGCATGTCATCCTTGCACAGGGGCCATGCTAATCTTCTCTGTATCGTTCCAATTTTAGTATATGTGCTGCCGAAGCGAGCACATATACTAAATTTTTAAAATTTAACAACTCACTTTGTTCTAGTCTCCAAATCACATGGAGCTGCCACATTCATAACAGGGGTCTAAGAGTTTTTCAGTAGAAAACACTATCCAACTGGAACATGTTTGAGGTAGCATATGATTAATAACAAATTTCTGGAGGAAAAACTTATTCAAAACAAATATTATAATGATATTATCATATGCAATTTGCTATAGAATGCAATAGAACTTTGTTTTTAGATTTTTGAGCTATAGTTGAATGTGCTTGGGGAATCCTTCTGGCTTTGTTCTCAAGAGTAACTCCAGTACCAAGGATTGAACTAGGTTTGGCTGTATGTGAGAAGAGCACCTTAACCCCTGTACTTTCTCTGTCACTTTCATATATCTTGTTTTGCTTCTAATACCCTGCATGTAAAAACCCTCACTGGTTTTTATTTTTCCATCTTAGCTCTTTCTTTTCTGCTTAGATCTCACAGAATACACAATCTTTACAAGTTTGTAAATTCAAGTACTAGCTAAATAGCAGTAAATAATTATTTGGAACAATACTATCTTTCAGTTAGTGGAGTTACTTTAGATCAGAAATGTGTTTTGAATTTTCGTCCAATCTGTTACTTATGTGCATGTGAAAGCAAATATAATACAGAATCACCTTTTAAAAAATAGTTCTTGGGGTCAAAGATATAGTAGAGTGGGCTTTTGCCTTCTATGCCATTAACCTGGGTTTGAATTCCAAGACCCCATATGGTCCCCCAAGTCCTTCAGGAGTGACCTCTGAGTGTAGAGCCAGAAGTAAGCACTAAGCACAGTTGTTCTTTATTGTTTTTCATGAGGACATAAAGATAAGCTGAAATTCATTCTTGTTTGATGAAAAGATAATTTCTAGATTCTTTTGCCATCTCTCCATCCTGCAGTTCAAAGACCATTTGTGTCATAGTTTGCAGCAGTAGCCCTTCCTTTTAAAGTTGGGCGAAAATGACATTAATACAGTCTTCCCAAGTAAACAAAGAACTTTATTAATTTTTAGAAGTCTTCAACAAATGTTTCTCACTTATCTCAACTAGTAGAGACCCTTCCCTAAGATCATACACTGTAGTTGTTGCTAATTTGACATGAAGCTCATAATAAATGGTGTCAGTTGTGACTTTCTTGAGTTCCAAGAATAATTAAATATACTAACTACATTCCAGTAAAGAAAGTGACCGTATATCAAATAAGTTTCACTATCACACAGCCAGCTATCTATATATATAAAATGCATTGATACTTAGATGTTATAGAGCTGCCCTCTTCTCATTTAATTTTTTGGTCATTATAATCTGTTACCAAGATTATCAATAACGACACATAAGGTAATTTATATGTGTATTTTATTTTTGCCACAAAAGTAATTCTATATTTCAAATTAAAATCCCCCATAAAATTACTATTTTATATAAATGTTAATTTACTACTGACTACCAAATTAACTGCATGCCATTATTGTGTATTTATTACAGTCTCAGTTTGTCATTCAATGATACCTCATAACCCAATGCTTGAACAGGATTCGGGTAGTGTTTTCCTTTTACACATTAGTAAGCTAAATCAAGAAAAATCAAGTTATCTGCTAAAAATGATCCTGCTTTTAATTTGGTGTGGGAGCCACACCCAGATGTGCTCAGGACTGACTCATGGCTCTGTACTCAGGATAACTCCTAACAGAGCTTAGGAGACTATAAGGTTTTGGGTAATCAAACCTGTGTCAGTCACATTCAAGGCAAGCATGTTATTCACTATCTTCTCCGGTCCTGGAAAGATCCATTTAATATGCTTATGTTATGTGCCATGCATTATGCATAGAATCTAGTAGTCTCTATTATTAAGTAAAAATAATATTTGCAGTCTACCTGGTTAAATACATCTAGATACCCTTAATATTTTTAATGGCCACTCTTTTTTTAATATTATGCTCTGACTTACTGTAATGATAATCTCTTTCTACTGTCTACTTCTAGTATTTTGTTTATTTTGATCTGGGGCCACACCTGACAGCTCTCAGGGGTTACTCCTGGCTATGTGCTCAAGGATCACTACAGGTGCTCTAGGGGGTCCATACGGGATACTGAGGATTGAATCCATGTTAGCTGTGTGCTAAGCAAGTGCCCTTCCCATTGTACTATCACTCCAGCCCCTACTTCTAGTAATATTAAGAATGACTGACTTCCTAAGATTTTGAGAAAACATACCCTTCGAGTTTGTCTATTCCATTTTTATAGCATACCTGGTATAAATTAGTTTGTCTTCGTAATTCTGTAGTTACTAACATAACAAAACCAGCTTGACTACAGAGTAAATGTTGAAGAATACCATTCTGTAGGAAATAGATTATTTTTGTAGGGGGCATATCTGGCAGTTCTCAGGGCTTATTCTTGGCTCTGCACTCAGGATCACTCCTAGAGATGCTAGTGTTGTGCCAACAATTGAACAGGGGTTGGCTATGTGTCAAACAAGTTTCTTAAACCCTGAACAAGCTCTATAATCCCAGTGGGGGAATTATTATTTAGACCACACTACTTTTATATATTGAGTTGCCGTATGAAGAGTAGACTTTTAATCACATTTTTTAACCTTAGATGTTAATAATATAGCCATCACATGTTCCACAAACTTGTATAGGCAATTAGCCATGTTATAAGCATGGTCACAAGTACATTTATACATTTTTGTTTATTTTTATAGCTGCTATGTTTCTAATTTCTAGCACAGCATGCTGTCATTTTATCTTTTCATAAGAATTTATTGAATAGAAAAATAAGAATATTATGATATAGGAATATAAAGTATTCTAAGGGTTTGGAGAGACAGTACAAAAGAAAGATACCTGTATCAGGCAGTTTATCAGGGATTAATGCTTTGTGCTACATATGGTCCCTGAGCATCAACAATAGTAATTCCTGAACACAGACCCAGGATTAAGCTTTGAAAAACTCTGGGTGTGGCCTCCAAAACTGAAATAAATAGCTATCCTAGAACAGCATGCTCTTTTTTTGAAGAAAAAAAAATCCTGAGTTAAGTAAAAATTTAAGGAAGTAAAATTGATTTTATTTAAGACTTATCTACAGCTATATATCTATATCTATAAGCACAAACACACATAGTCTCTTGAAAATATTTTTGACCACAGGATAACATTAAGTGAAGTCATTGACATAATTATGCATGCATTATTTGCCTGTTACAAGTAGGATAAAAAATAGAGGTACTCATAAAATTAATAGAACTAGATCATCTTCTATGATGATCTTCTTCTTCTTATCTTCTTCTTCATCTTCAGATATCCCTTGAGTACCTACCTGCCTTGCTTGTTGGTTCCTTTGCTTGCTTTTTTCTACTCTCCAGAAGCCTGTGTTCTCTTTTGATTGTGTATTTCTCCCTTTCTCTCCTTTGTCATCTTTCTAAGTAATTTTCAATAAAAACTTTCTTGTTTCACACACAAAAAAGAATTAAATCATCCCTATATTTGATAGGTTTTGAAATATTGTGTGAATCCCACTTTCTTGCTCTGTGACAAATAATCATATAACACAAGCAGCTTTCATTTAAGTGCCCCCATGCTGATGATCACACCACAAGATGGTGTGTCCCATCTGTTCATTGGTCTGAGTCAGAAAGGTAAAAATGAATAAGATAAAGCTTTAACTGTGTACAAACAATCTCATAGGTCATTATCTGCAGCAGAAATGATTTCTAAATTTGGGAAGAGCACATTAGAAGTACAGCTTAGCATATTTTTTATTTCTGTGATGTGAAAACTTACTGCTTTTGAGTTCCATGAGAATGAAAGGCACTCTATTGTACTGAAGGCAATAGAACACCAGCCCAATTATTCAATGAAATTAACTATCATTAAATACTCAGAATTATAAAATTTAGTAAAATATTTAATAAAATCCTCAAATTATAGAATTTAATAATACTTCATATAGTTTTTAGGAAAAGCCAAGAAAGAAATCAGCAAAGGATAAGTAACTTGGGTGCCAAAGTGATGATACAGCAAGGATAATGCTTACCCTACATGCAACTGACCCCAGGTTCTATTCCCAACACCACAAGTGTCCACTCCTACCCCCTGCACTGCAAGGTATTGTTCTTGAGCAGAGATAGGAGTAAGTCATCAGAAACATTGAATTCCACTCCCCCCAACAAAAAAAATATGATGAATTATTTAACAGCAGTCTCTGCCCCCGCGCCTCGGTGTTCCTTCCCGGAGTCCCTTGGAGGGGAGCGGGTTGAGCTTTCCTCCCCGCCCCGGCCAGGGCTACGGCAGCCGGAGACCTCCAGGACCAGCCACCACCATGCTGAGACCACTCTCCGCACACCTGAAGGTACTGGCAGAGGGACAAAGCCACGCGGGTTCCGGGGCCGAGACCTCCAAGCCTACTCGAATTGGAGTCGAGCATCTTCCACCCAGATCCTCCAAATTCCAGTAGGCGGGGGTCACACCCACCACCTGGCCCCCTGGCGCCGTGTAATCCCATCAGCGGCCAAGACTCAGAGACTATAAAATCCAGATCCCGGACGAGAGCAGTGCAGTCTCTGCCCCCGCGCCTCGGTGTTCCTTCCCGGAGTCCCTTGGAGGGGAGCGGGTTGAGCTTTCCTCCCCGCCCGGGCCAGGGCTACGGCAGCCGGAGACCTCCAGGACCAGCCACCACCATGCTGAGACATCTTATCAGAACTTTTCTTTATGACATCTTTTATCTCATTCCTACTTTGGACAAACTCGCAGGCTATCGAATGTAGCCTGCCCACAGGGCAGAGTCTGGCAAACTCCCCGTGGCCTACCAAATATGCCAAATACCAGTAACAATGATGGGTCTCATTCTCCTAAAGAGCCTTGAATATAATCTCAGGGCTAGGATGAAAGAGACGTTACTGGGGCCTGCTCGAGGCAATCGACGATTAACAGGATGATGAAATGAAATGAAAAAAAAAATTTAACAGCAATGTCAAATTTAT